CTATCCGAGCATTTAAACGTCGTAAGTCTCAGAAATGAACACAAAGATGGTCTGCACGGTTTCTTGCATTTGCACGATACAAGTTCTTTGTATCCATTTGCTGCCACTGGCTAAGTAATCGATATCGGCTGCCAGCTGTCCTTTGCAGCACCTCGTTGCCAGCCACATTCACTAGGACTGGTAATATCTGGTTGCGTGACAAGTGATAGGACTTCAACCTTTAGTACTTCACGCATCACCTGTTTACAATGTTGAAAGAGAGCGTCCTATGTTACTGGTAGGTTTGCAATCTGTCGTCCACCCTGGAACAACACCCTTTTACAGCTGTCTACCTTTGTCTCTTTGCATTTCCTGTAACCAAAATATTCAAATTTTCTCCTATGTTAACACTAGAACTACCGGGATTTTCGTGTACCTAGATCTACCGGAGGGGTCATTTTGACCCCTAGGTACTATTTCGCCGTTTTAGCTGTGAAAAGACTGCGGTTTTGGGTACACAACTTCTTATTTTCGCTTTTTATAACACTTCAAGCAATTTTTGCACCCACGGGGGTCCCTGTAAAGGGGTAGGTAGGCAACCTGCAAAGCACAAAATGTAATTTTTCAGAAGTTTTGCAGATTTTTTCGTAATTTTTCGTTTTGTTTCGGGAAAATTTCATAGAATTACCATCAAATACAATAAGTCTCAACATTTTAGCATAGTCTGTGTATATTTCAGTCTGACCGACAACCGTAAACACCGCCAATACTGTAAGTAATTCTGAAACTTTGGTTCTACGGATAAAACAGTGCACAAAAATCGTGCAATAACAGTCGTAAAAGACCATTTATTATCATTTTTAACCTCCGTTCGGCCATGTAGCGCGTTTTCAGGATGACAGTACCGTTGCGAATGCCTCAGAAGTATTATGTAAGAAAAACATGATTTTGTGATGTGCGGGTTGCCGACCTATGCTGAAAGAGCTTCAAAATAGTCACGCGACCAAGTGGAAGTCAACACTTTTCACAAAGAACAACAATGGCAAGGTTTAAGTTGAAAATCGCTTGTTAAAACCATCAAAGCCCTCGAAAACTTGACACAGGGGTCAAAATGACCCCTTCGGTAGAGCGAGGTATATGTTATAATATCTCCTAAAGTTTTTGACGCACATGGCTGGTTTTTGGTGTCAAAGCGTATTTTGGTGACCCACGAAAAGTCAAAAAGTGGCGGGTCGGTAGAAAAAAATTTTGATAGTTCATTTGGCAATTCAAAATTGAAAGGGGTCATTTTGACCCCTCCGGTAGTTCTAGTGTTAAAGGGCTAGGACCGACTTTTTGTTTATTTTACAAATCGATAAAGTATGTTATCCTTATCTACTACCTCCAGCCGTTTTGCCCTGCGACGTTTAGTTTTGGCGTTTTGGGAACGCCTCAAAGTTCGAACTTTTGCTGACTTTAAAACACCTTTTAGGCAAAACTGTAAGTCGTACATCGTCGAAAATTGGTGATGTCACAGTTGAGTACTAGGACTACTGACCCTAAAGTTTTGAAGGTTTTTCCTAGTCCAGGCTGCTTCCTCGAAAATTGGTCGAATACCAGCTCATGTTCTAGCCACATCTTTTTACATATCGGAGTGAAATTTTCACAATCACTAGATCGGACTTCGCTCTTTCAAAGTAGCTGAACAGGAAGCCGCTCACATTCGAAATTTGTTCTAAAAGGTGTTTCAAGTCAATCCCTGTTTTGTGCTTCCCGCCACCCTTAGAGAGAGACAGGCTGCACCCGTCCTCGTCGCGCTGAGAGGGGGGTGGGAGGGGCAAGGAGGCACCTCCTAGGGGCACCGCAGGCCAGAGGCAGGTCGGGCGAGTCGGCGGCCGGGAGCCCCCGAGCGCGTCTGTTTTTTTTAGTTTTATGAGAGGGGGGGTATTGGCACCGCTCTGCACGTCATTCAAGTAGTTCAAATATCAGTCGTACACAAGCACAAATAGCACCGATGAAACAGCAATGAACGCTCTAAAATGCTCTTCAAAATCATAATTCTACGTCAATTTTCAGAGTTGACGAAAGTGCAAATTTCGGGGCTCGGGCGCTGAACGATGGCCCACTGAGGGTTCCTCGACTCAAAAGAAGCTCCGGAGCGATGAGCGGTGAGGCCCGACCTGGCTGCTGTTGTCATCAATTTCTTCATCAAGAGCCAGTCGTGAAGTTTGCTGCACTCATGTAAACACGTCGGTTTTCGCCCATAAAGAGACGAGCACAGTTTTTGCGGCCCTGACGGTTTAAAAGCACAGTTTAAGCGCAGTTTTTTGGCGTGCTCAGATTTTTTGTGCGTCAAATATACGTTTTTGACGGTTTCTTTACCAACGTGCGTCGACGCACAAATCAAACGGATAGCGCGGCCTGAAAGTAGAGTTTTTTGTAGGGCCAAGAGGCCCCTCCGTCAAATTAAGTTTCTGAGGGTGCGTTAGTAGTTATACTGGCTCTCAGTGGCGGTTGCCTATTGCCCAGGCGACGAGGATGAGTGGCGGGTCCGTCGCGAGGAGTCACATTCTATGTATAGTGCTTGCCAATGTGCCCCGGGCTTGGCGATTGGGTCTGTGTTCACAATGATAAGTGCTTTTTTCCTGTGTAGCCTATGTGGTAGTGTGTCTGACGCATAGACGCCTTCAAAGAGCGGCCTAGCGTGAGGGTCCCTGCGCATGACCGCCTCCAAAGTGTGCCCGTCCATTACACGTTGTAATCTACAACAAAGTTTCGATTTTTATCGATCTCTATGAGGTTATTGAACTCAGAGTACACAATACAATTAATCGGTTCCGGGAGAGGAGCCGAGAATAGGAGTTCAAGCCTGACAACCCCTTGTCGTTGTAAGTTCCAGTGGTGTTCGTTTGCTGACAAATCTTGAGAAATATCGAACGCAAAAAGTGTGTAGCCGTTGGCGTAATCTTCGTAAGTGATATCATTCCCTTCGTCCTTCCAATGTATGCCTGTTCCGGAAAACAGGATGTTATATGCCTCGACGTACAGCCCTTTGTTAAAGTTCGGCTTTAACGGTTGTGCTGGGATTGGTTGTGAACCGTCATATAAATTCAAGTAAATAATATTAAAGTGATGAAAGTTAAACGGATTGCGTTCATAACTACCGTTAAACGCCTGATTTGAAACGAAGCCAATAATGAGTCTTTTTGGCAACTGTCCCAAATGCAGATTAGGAATCGTTTTGTCGTGCAGACCCGCAGAAATAGTGAAGGTTTTCAGGTCCACTCTTGTAATAGGGTACTTAGCAGGGGCCTTCTCCAGCGCAGCTGCGTGTGCAAGAAGCACGGATGGAGACACCCGAACTCTTCTTATCAGTAGCTTGATGTCTGTGATGATAAATCTTTCTTTCTTCTTTGTCGATGTGAGCACGAAGGCATCTCGACTACGAGTGAGTTTTATTCTCATATCGACGTTATTTAAGATAAATCGGTCGTGATTAAAGAAATCGCAATGAATTGGACCCAGTAATTCGACTTCGTTGCTGTTTTGTGTGCGTTGCCTACGTTTAACCAATCCTGCGTTTTTAGAATCTTTTCCGATATCATCCATGGCTCCCGCAGTGTCCTTATGATACATACGCATGCCCATGTGTGTCGCTTTCGCCGCGCTATCGTAATTAATTGTAGCCTCGATAATGCTTCGGTAAGCATAAGTCTGAACAGACTGTGAAACAAGTGTGTGATTGGCCTCAACGTCCACTTGGGATTGGGAAAATGCTGAATGCAAGAGGTGGTTTACAGGGGCAGCATCGCTCGCATCCGTGGCGGTCAGATCGTCTCCATCTTCATCGACGACTTTTCCTCTCACTTTCAAAAGCGTATGCATCCCCGCGATGTTACTGCTGGTACCGGGGACATCGAAGACAATACATGCGTTTTAATCGTAGGGTAAGGGGCCCAGTTGTCGACAGTACACCAGTAGTCGACACTTTCATTTTTGCGATCGATTTCCCGCGAAGAAGTTAACGTTAGAGTCTCGTGCGTTTTTCCAGGTTGTAGCACACTCTATTGAGATTATAATGAACCCATTGCCGATTCCGTGCCACCTCCGGGAGCCGGTTGGGAGCGCTTTACACAGAAGACTGCTCGTCTCGTCACTTCGAGGCATAATTTTTTAGCTCCGGAGTAGTAAGCAGGTGTTCGCTTGGAAGGTTCTGTGCGGCTGCCATTCACCCGAGTGGTTCCGGAGGACGTTTGTGTTGTTATCAAACACATGTTTTATCTTCCCCCATTTAGGTATTCGAAAATTTCGGTCAGGGGCGTAAATAATGGTGGTGTCGACTACTGGGCCAGAAAAAGACATCTGTTCCAGTAGTCGACACTTACTTTATTTTAATTGTGTGCTACCTTCATACGGGCTTATTCCAACAACTAGGGCCCTTTGTCAATGTGAAATGTTGTTGGGATCGTGTGTCCTTTGTTTTCTTGTTCGTAATACATCATAATGACATCAGTAAAGCACTAGGTGTCAATACTGTGCCGAATGATAGTTTGTGTTCAGTGCCCCATTTTTGTAAAGCATTTCTCTGGGAATGGTTGCTTAAGAGAAGTGTTAACAAACACAAGGGTCGAGGGGGG